TATAGTTCGCCGGCTAGTTCGCTTGTCAGGCTAGCTCGCAAGTAGCGAGTGAGTTAGTCACTTTCAAGTCATCAGCTAGGTAGCTAGGTAGCTAGGGTAGCTAGGGTAGCTAGGCAGTTGTGTGACCAAGTTCGCTAGCCAGCTAGTTTGTCTGTCAATTGTTGGTTATGCAACGTGGTGCAGCGAGGTTTTGATGGTTGACTTGAACGTTTGCAATGGACGCAAGCACAAACACACACACACACATGCTGCATAGTCTTTTGCCTTCCCTTAGGGTCCCTTTGCGCCAACCTGAAAAGGGCACCCTTGAAGAACAGTCAACTATGCTCCAAGCCTTCTTCTGCCAGGTTGAATGTTTGAGCCGCCATTCGTTCATTTTCCTTTCAGAGAAACATATGGCTATGAAATTCAAGAGTTGACACTATTTGAACAGTGCTTGGTGGATATAAATCCCCACCGAATTGTGATGTCCACCGTCCACCAAAGGGTCCCCAATCAAAATTCGTGCATATCTCATTTTCCCCTCCAGGTCGACAATCCGAAGAGCTTGGTTCGAAGAGCTTGGTTCGTCAGGTGCTCGACAAGCAGCTGGGAATTAACATCACCAAAAAGCTGGGCGTCGAGGCTTCGTTTGGGCAGCAGCCTCCAGAGACGACCTCAAGCGCGAATTAGGTGCTTTGTTTGGCACTACTTGATTGAAACTCTTGGTCTTGGGCCCGAACCCGGTCTTGGGGCGGGGGCTAGGGTTGCTGGCTTAGCGCCGCGTTTCGACGCTGAAAGGCGGGTGAATGCTGTCTAAATATCAAGCAAGTAGGCCTAATCTCTCCGCCGTGTCTACGTGTTGGTCCAGGGCGACGCGATTAGGATGAGACCTTCTCCCCACGGAGCAAGTTCCGGCGACCAGTCTGCTGTTCAGAGAGTTCCTCAGGGGTATTTTTGAGAGCCTTAGAGAACCTAGTTGTACTGTACTACTTCGCATTGAAATCGCTCATTTGGGTTTGTGGTTTGCCTAAAAAGAAAAACAACAAACAAACAGAAGGGAGTACCCTAAACAACACAACCTCACCCGTTTTTACTTCGGTGAAAGCATGTTGGATGTATGCTGCAGACCCTCCTGCCAACAATCATGGACGACGATTTTCCATTTGGGCGACCTTGCCCATTCCATGATTCTTGAAGAGAGGGCAGCTTAGGATTGATTCCTCCAAAAGGAGAGCGTAGGTCTCCGTGCTGAGCGAGAACTTGAAGGAGATCATGCGCGGCGTGCGCCTGCACTTGCCGGGCTCCGAGTCCCATTTGCCTATGGAAGGATTCCCGCGGTCCAAAAGTAGTCAATCCCCAGCGGCAAAGTAAAGCATCAGTTTGTGCATGTGTATATACATCTGTGTCAGTGTGTGTTTGCACCACCTGGTCGCAATCAGGGTCACAGGGTGATCATCCTCCCCAAACCGCAACTGACACCACACACACACACAGACATCAGAAGATGCGCCCAATCTGGAGGAATTTGCAAGCACACATGGAAAGCAGCCTAAGTTGGAAGGAGGTAATGTCCATGGAAACTGGTGAAACACGGGTTGATTGATGGGTCAAAAGTATCTTGAGTTATTCTGACGTGTCACAATCCAAAGCCAAGCTTCGAGTCCGAACCATGCGGATATACGCTCGGGTGGACCTTTGTGCGCCTTTTTTGGTGTGAGTATCTGCTTGTTTGTATCGGCCAGGAAACCTACACCGGGGGTGGGGGTCGGGGGGGGGGGGGCGGCTGTGGTTGACGTTTTGCCGCTCGCTCAGGACTGAATTGATTGAAGGACTCGACGAGTCGGAGGCCAGAGCAGACATGCTGACGTGGTGAAAATTGGGGCAAAAGCACCTGGAAGTCGACTCGCTGGAATTCGTTCGCCTGAAAGTTTGGACCATATGTGCCATGGGCAAAAGACCGATTCCTTTCCTTGGGGTGAGCGGTTAAGGGAGCCATGACCATAGGCCAAACAAACGCAGGTTTGACGAACGCCCACTAAGCGCCCGCAGCAGTGAAGCGGTGAAGCACCAGTGAACCTTCACGTCTCACAACCAGATTCAATGGGAGTGGACAGCTTTTACGCTGAGGACTGTCTTCAGAATCCCTGTCAGCTTCCGCCGGTTCGAAGCTCCCTTTCCCCCGCCAGGTGAAGTCGATGTCGCTGGGCTTGGCACACACACTGCCTCTCAGCTAGCAAAAGAATGCGCTCGGTGATCGGCGGCTTTCGTGTCGTTTTGTTGAGGACCTGCTTTTCTATTGTTTAAAGGGGGGAAAAATGGGCAGGCCCCCCCCCCCCCCCCCCCTTTGTGTGTGTTTTTTGTTTTGGGGAGGGATTTTTCATGTCTTTGGGCAGGGGGAGGGGGTTCTTATCCTATTTTGAGACGTAAACCCATTTGCATCCCTGCAGCTAAGGTCTCGCTTCAAGCTCAAGTTTTCCCCAGACAAGGTGGACACGATGATTATCCAGGCGCAGAGAGAAAGAGCCAATGTGGGGAGTGTGTGAAACGCGTGAACGCCTCTTTGGGCTTTTTCAACAACGTCCGCGATTTTGCCTTTTCTGTTGTTGTCAGTTTTTGTTCTTTGGAGCATTGTCTTTTAAGTCAGTTATCATAGAATCATCGAAATGCAGTTGGTTTCGTCCCAGGTTTCTTTGGGAGGCCAAACGCGTGAAGTGTCCCTGTGCCCAAAAAGGGTACCGAGCACCGAGCCAGCGAGCCCAAATCTCAGGCAGTGGGACTCCTGGACGACCTGGACAAAGAGCTCAACAACTTCGCCATGCGACTGCGCGAGTGGTGAGCCGAATGGATCGCCGGAGTGATCGCCCATGGGTTCTCCAAACGTCGGAGAAGCGCGAGTTCCTTTTTTGAAAAGTCCGAGTTGCTCGCTTCAAAGCGTGATCTTCTTTTTGGCTGTTGGATGCCCGGCGACCCGTTTCGGGGGTCCAAGTTTGAGAGATCTTCCTCGGCCGGTGAGTTCCCAAAACGCCCCGAGTCTTGGGTTACAGGGAAGTGGATGCTGGGCACTCCGCGTTTTCCCAATCATGGAAGCTGGCAGGAGGATTTGAGAAGACTGGAGTCCTCTTAAAAGGCCAAAAGCTGTCCGCTTCCATGACTGAGCAGGGGGTATGTTTCCAGACGACAAAGCTCATTTGATGTGGACATAAGATGCGATCTTTAGACACTTATCTGAGGGCCCAGTAACTTGTTGGACGGGAGGCAAGCAAATTCGCCTTAGCAAATGAGAGAACTCTCAGAATGTGATTCGGACCCAGTGGATCCCAGCTACCCTTTCAACAGCAATGTTTTTTTTGGCCTTTAAAGGGTGGTTCCCTTGGTTACTCATGTAGTCGGATCGGGAAGGAAACACCAGGAAACCATCCAACCAAATCAACACCCTGTCAAACCCCATCGATTTTGATACCCACATCATATCTCCTCTTGGGGGGCATAAGGCGACATATTAGCACCCTGACACATGGAAGCAGCGCGCTTCATTTCAAAATAATTTGGGTTTGTCTCAAAATGGGGCGGGATATCCCTGCCCCCCCCACCCCCAAAAAGAAGAAGAAGAAGAAGAAGAAGAAGAAGAAGAAGAAGAAGAAGAAGAAGAAGAAGCGCGAGTTTCCTTTTGGTTTTCCTTTCAGACCGTCTTTCAAAGCGCAGGCGTACCATGGCGTACCGAGCCTCACCCCAGAAAGCGCACGCCCATTTGAGGACTGGAAGTTTGGCCCAGTGGAGTTCGGTCGAAGGTACGGCTGGCACTTCCCCGAGATGGGGAAGATCGTCACCGAGAACCTCGCCTACGCCAAGGCGGGCCGAGCTGGAAAGGTTCCTTTTAGGTCCAATTGGACGTCGCTTGTGGTTGAGAAACACCTTGCAGGCTTTGAAGGATTTTATTCGGCCATATGCAGTTGTCGACCTTTTTTGAGACATGTTGGATGTACCAAGCATGGTTGCCATGCTTGGCGGCCCCAAGGTGAATCTTGGATTCCTGCGGGCGAGTTTCGGGTGACTTTGATCTTTTTTAGGCTCGCCCAGCGAAACTTTCTCATCATTTGCTCGAATGCAAACCTACACTCACTTGTCGACCAAAAAGATCAACCAAAAGGATTAGAAGGGGATGTTTCCTCCAAAAGTGATTCCCTCCATAAAAGGATAATTATCCCCGAATGAATCAACCCGGGTTGATGAATCCCGGGTTTCTGTTATGGCCCTGTCAAGAGACCTTGCAGGAGGAAGCCATTTTGGGTACCTAATTTTGACCCACAGCCATATTTGATCTTTTCAGTGGTGTTCCAGGAGGAAGCCTGGTGAACTTGTGCGCGCGGGAAGTCCCACTTGGGTTGCTGGGTTTCCCGCACCTTCCCCTGAAAGGTTGCTGGTTCTCAGCAGGGAATGAGGGAATGGCCCCTATAACCTATCCCCCATGGTTTCCTTGAAGGGAATCCTCTTCCAGTTCATTCCCAACACCTGGAATGTTATTCCATATCGCTCCAGCTGGTATTTTTGTTTTGAAGCCAACGCCCAAGGTGTGTGTGTGTGTAGGTTGTACTCGAAGGCGGGAGTTCAAGTGTGTGTAAGGGTCAAGACTCTAGGGGTTGATTCCAACCATTCTTTTCAACCAGCCTTCCTTCCAAAGAACCGGATCCGTTATCCCTGGGATTCCGGAGGTTTTCTGGAAAGATTCGGATGGAAAGGATGGGGAGTGTGTGAGCGGGAGTCATGAATAGACAAGTAGTGGTGAAGAGCGTCCTCGCACACTAACGCATGAAAGGTACCCCTAGAAACTTCCCCAGAATTAGTTCCCCTTTTTACTTTTTTGCGTTTTTTGGGGTTACCTTTGTTTTCCATTAACCAGGCAAAACATATGTTGTTTGCTGGGGTCCTAATTCCAACCCAGGAAAGACGTCAAACCTGGGGACCCGAGTTCCGTCGGGGCTCAGGTGGTCCGACTCATGGGCCTCAAGACCAAGGCGAAGGACCGGATCGATGGGATCGCCGGCTTCGATTTGGTGGTGTCTCAAGAAAGGAGCGTGTCGCTTTTTGAGGGTGCTCTTTTTGCCTCTTTTGTTTTTGCTTTAACCACTCAAAGGAGTCAACCAGTCTGTTTGCGTGTCATTTTGAGGCATGTCATTTTTTGTGAGGGTTCAAAGGGACACTCTTTCTTGAGTGAACCAAGTTTGGTGGGCCCGCTCCCGGCTCCCTCCAGTCAACCCAGACCATGTCTCCTGCTCTCCTTCCCTACTTTTTATCGTTTCCTAACACAAGACACACATGGGAACCGGAACCCCCAAACTCTTTGGGATTTCTATTGAGAAATCCCAAAGGGCAGAGCCCCCCCCCCCTTTCACCCCAAGCGTTCTTTGAAGCATCTGATCGTTTCCATTTAGGTGTCTTTCTTAAGGCTCGGTACCCTTCCCCTCCCCCGGCAAAAGGATTACTTTTGATTTAATTTTGCTGGATTGCATTCCCCTTTTTGGAAGAATATTGTTATAGTAAAAGCAAGCAGACCAAGGGGAAGTGCAACCCATTGAGAGTCAGGGGTTTCAGGACCTAGAAGGCTTGGAATGGGTTGGAGGAATTCTTCACGAAGTTGCAGGGGTGTCTTGACAAAAGCGGACCTAACATAGAAACAGATTCGCCAATCCCTTGTAGAGGTGGCACATGAGCTCAACGGATTTCTTACGGCGGACTCTTTGGGCTCCTGGTGTTGGTGCCGTGATCCAGTCATTTTTCTCAGCGGCCTGCTTCATTCGGTATTTTCCCCACGCACCTCCACGCGTTGGCGCGCGCGACTCTTCTGACGGTGGAAGGAATCTGACTGAGTTGCTTCATGTTTTTTTTTTTTTTTTTTTTTTTTTTTCGTGGAATGAAGCATGGAGCCCTCGCGTAATTGAAGCACTCATGGCTGAGGGGTTGGGGGGTTTGATGGGTGTGGTGTGGGGGGCCTGGCTGGCCCGAGCCGTCGAGCCGTGCGGGCCGTGGACCAGTTTTCGCAGATTGGGAAGCCACGAGCCTCCCAAGCAACACATGGAACCTGACGTTCGGGCTTTTCTGGAAGACACATGTCCTTTTAAAGGGACCATTTCCCTCAGGTTCCATGTTATTTGGTGGGAGGGTGGTTGATTTGACCCTCAACCTCCACATGTTGACTACAGGCCTGCTGCTGAGAGAGGGTTTGTGTAAGAAGTTGCTGGGTAATTGCAATTGCAACCCACGACTCCAAAACCTGAACCCCCAAACCCTACCCTAAACAACCCAAAGCCCAAATAGAACAGTCTAGTGCCCCCACACCCTAAACCCCAATCCCTAAAACCCAGTTTCTTTTCTATTAGGGACCCACAGCCTAAACTGTGACACATCTAATACCCCGACATCCTAATTCTCCCAAACCCTGAAACCCTCAAATTGTAAAAAAACACGGCCTAAAACTGATAGAAAGTCGAAAACCCGCACACCCAAACCCCACCAAAGCCACACAAAACCTGACCCCCCAAGCTCTCAAATCCTTAAACTCCAAACAAAGCAAGGCCTAAAACAGTACACCATCGAATGCCACACCCTAACCCCCCCCCAAAAAAAAATGTAGAAAAGGCTGGTCCTAGGGGGTCGGGGGTAGATGGTTGCCTGTTCTGTTTTTGTTATTTCACAATTCAACACGTGTACCACCTTATTCGTTTTTAAAAGGCTGATTTTGGGGGCATGAAATAACGATATGGATGTGGTAACGAATTGATGATTTTGTCCCCTGTTTCGTTCCAGATTTCAACTTTTAGTTTTATTGATTGAAAGAGGTTAGGACTTTCTGTGGTTTCATGGGTTGGCTTTTGGGCGGTTGTTGTGGATTGTTCTTCATCGTGCCCACTCCGCTGCTTCGACTCCATCGTCATCAGCATTATTGTCGGGCAACCCAGTCAGTGTGAGAGAGAGAGAGACACTCATAACAGTCTGCTCACGTTCATTGTTTGCTTATGAATACCAAATCGTAGCATTTTTCTGATCGAGAAAGAGTGACTCCTTAGCATTCACTTGTGTGTGATGTCGGCTTATCCGAAGGTGATGGTGAGATAGTGGTTGCTTCTTCATCCAACCAGAAGCCATCTTCGAAAGCCAAAGCCTTGCCCCAAGCAAAGAATAAGGTGAAGAAGTTCCACGGCATCAGGTGTCCATCCCACTTGTCACTCCCAACGAGGATTATCAAAACAAGGTGAGGCTTTCACAAATGAGGAGGCTGAGTACGAGAAGGCTGAGCTTGAGAGCGAGCTTGCACGTCTTGGTGGGATGAAGACCATTGTGGACATTAAGCTCAAGGACAAGCCCACTAAGCCCATTAAGACCAATGACATGGAGGAGACGTTTGTCATCAAGGCTCACTTCCTGGCTTGCAAGCTTGAAGTTGACCTAATCGTTGAAAAGAATGATGAGACATTGGCGGGGCTTTGCTCTTTGGCACTCAAGGAGCTCAACAAGGCGCTTGTCGATGAGGGCTACAAGAAACTACCAAAAGCGGTTTCCCGCGAGATTGTGATTGACAAGGTTGCTTCAAACAACCGCACACAGGTTCACACCTTGTTCAAGAGTGGTGACAGCATCAAGGTCATCTTTCCTGAACACGTCAATGATTTCTTGCCTTCGTTTGGTGCTGATGAAGATGACACCACACCATCCAGCGACGATGACTGATTGCAAGCGTCAGTGAAGTCCATCAAGTTTTGTCTGCCACTATGACAACTTCAAGCGGCTTGACCTCACGTCGAGGCGACGCTATGATCGTTGGTAGGTGGTGTGTAGCAATGAGCGGTACCCGATGACAAAAGAGCTTCATCATTTGCTTCATTCTATGTCTTCTTGAATACTGATGTGATGCTTGCATTCATTTCTGACTGTTACAACCGAAGCAATTTTTGCTTAACGTGTTTCTTAGACAGTGGCTCAGCCTTTGACAGTTGCAATGGCTCCCAAGACCAAGAAGAATATGTTGAAGGTGAAGCCCAACGTGACCAACCCTACACAGCAGTCCTTCTTGAACACCTTCAACGCCTGCTCTCAAAACTTGACGAAGGACAGTATAACCTTCAAAAGCTTCTTGGATGAGGTGCAGCTGTCTGACTTGCGGGACGCCTTGAAGTACATGAAGCACAACAAATCGAACCTTGGGGTAAAGCTTCCAATGATGGCAAGGTTCCATCCAGGTGTCAAGGATATGATAAAGGCTAAAGAGTGGTTGGAGCACGCCATTGGCAAAAGCGAAGCTTTAGTCAATGACAGTATAATTCATGCTTGTGACAATGATGACAGTTCTAACATAAAGGACTGTCTAATTCGCACGATTGAAGTTGCCATTGGGGTTAAGGAGGACCGGGAAATGAAACCGTGAGCCACCACGGTATCAATGTTGTACAGTTCCATCAATGTTGCTCAATGCTACATAGTTCCTTCCTTGGTTGTGGTTGAGAGCATCAGTATACCCCTGTGCTCAACTTCGCATTGACCAATGCGTTTCACCACATTGAACACCCTTATTTAGGTGGTGTTTTGATGCTGTTTTTGGATGCTCTCCATCGCATACTGCAATGCTTTTGTAAGCATTATGCTCTTCACAGCATAGCATTATGCACCTTTGAGCAGTTGTACATATAGGAACATTTCTACTTTGGGGTGAGCATTGGTTGCGTTGCCAAGGGTGAGCAACAGCATAAAACCATTGTAAGAAACCGTTTGAGAGAGGAACAAAGACGTGATTGAGCATTTAGCTTCCGCATTAGTTGAACGAACCTGTGAGCAGTTGGTTGAGCAAAGTGCTTGGTTGATGTTCGACGTTTTAGCTTATCAACCTGAAACAAGGGTTCTGGAATGATGGTGGACGCTTCCACACAGACGAATGAGACCCTCAGTTTGGAAAACAGGTTGCACGCCTTGGAAATCGTCATTCGCCGTGGGTGGAACGTCAGAGACTTGAACGATGACTATGAAGAGACCTATGAGAATGAGGTGAACTTCGGTATCCCTAGCAGCCACATTGAGAAGGAATACTTTCGTGCGTGCTACTACCGCCCCGAGAAGAAGCAGTTCAGCGAGGAGGAGTGGGTTGCATTCAAGAACGAGTGGGAGCTCAAGAAAGACAACGACGCCTTCATGGAGTTCGGACGCGGTGACCACGATGATGTGATGAATAACGCCATGGACGTCGCCTTCTACATTTTGGGCTTTCCCTTTCAGGTGTTCTTCAACAACGGCAACGAATACCAATTGTTCACGATGAGGCTCAACCTACATGTAGGTGGACAGCTTCACGAACTGGAACAAATAGATTTGAATCTCATCAGACGATGTGTCTATGATAGCTTACCTCATCTTCGTGTGAAGCGGTGGGAGGTGGAGGAGCTCAATTTCAAGTTCCTGTGCGACTATGCCTTTTCTCGATGAGAGTGTCATCGGGTACGTCTTCCGCTACAATGAGGATGCCCCCTTCATTGAAGAAGATGACCAGAACCTTTGGGAGAGATTGCGACAGCATCCACTGGAAATGAGGCTCATTCCGCGCTATTACATGGACGATGACATCAATGATGACATCACCGAGAGCCAAGAAGGCTCAGAGTGATTTTCCCATCAAAAACCTGATGGTGATGACAAACCAAAGACCAACCAAAAAGAAGGAAAAAAGGACAATGTGAAAGGTAGGTTTTGAAGGTTTGGAAGGTAGGTTTTGAAGGTTTGGAGGTTCTGAGGTTTCTGCTTTTGATAGTCTCCGCACCTGCCGCACTCTGAGGTTGTGAAGTCATCGTCCTCATCGACTACGATGCTGTCGCCTTCTAGGTTCTGGCTCGGGTGGGTGTTCGTCCCTGTTCCCCTTTTTGGGTGTTGGGCTAAAACAAACTAACAAATATTTCACTAATCAAATCAGTGGGTATCTTATACAATTCATCTTGTTTGTGTTTGATGTATCCCTCACCCCAATCAAGCTTTTTACCACTTG